TGTTGATTATATTTGTTAAACAGCAAAATAAATGTAAAAAAAAAAAAAAGAAAAAAAAAAAAAGAAAAAAAAAAAAAAAAAAAAAAAAAAAAAAGGGGACTAGGGGGGACTATAGCCCCGGGCCCCGCAAATTTAGGGGCCCCAAAAAATTTTAGAGGATTTTTTTTTTTTTTTTTTTAAAGTCATTTTTAGGCTCTGGCCCTTAAAAAGGCCTCCAAAAACAAAAATAGCCCCGGGCCCCAAGAAGTCTTAATCCGCCACTGGATACCAAAACCACTTTGTTGGATACCAAAAAGATTACAAAGCTATAGGAAAAATGTGTTTCAAATGTCAAAAGAACAATCTAGCTTTAATCTTTGCTTTAGCTATTTGTTGCCGAAATACTCTAAAACCATTGTATAGGATAAACCGACAAGTTAATGAAATAAATAATAAAGCTAAAAGTGAACACAGCTCAGAAAATGAATCAAAAGATACGCTTGCCCTTACATGTAGTTCAACACGAAAAAGACAATTTAATAAAACAAATCAGTATATATATATATATAAAAGATAAAAATAATGTTGGAAACATAATGGGAGTTGAAACTGCTAAGGAATCGAAAACTTTTAAAAATTGTAGAGTGTGTAAAGTTTGTGATTGATAAAGACAAATATGTGAACTCAGTGGATAATTAGTCAAATGATAAAATCTTCCAACGAATCAAAATAATAATAATTTTGAGCATTCAAATTGTAAAGTCTCTTTAAAATTCAAAAATAATTTGACAAATCTAATTGCAAAATACGAAAACATATTCGAAGGACATGGTAAATTAAAAAATTTTCAATGCAAACTTTATGTAGACAAAAATATACAATCAGTTGCGCAAAATTTGCGTCGTTACCCGTATCACCTTTGAAAATACATTCAAGCAGAGTTAAAGCAACTTCAAGAAGCTGACATTAATGAAAAAGTTGAAAGACCACAAGAATGGATAAGTAATTTTGTTATTGTATCAAAAGCAAATAAGACAGTAAAGTTATGTCTTGATGCTAGAACCATAAACAAAGCAATTACATTAGATTCAGTAATAGATGAATTGTATGGTTCAAAAATATTTGCCAACCTAGACATGAAGGAAGTCTATACTCAATTAGAGTTGGATGTCGAATCAAGAAAATTTTGTGTCGGTAGACTCCTCATCTGTTTGAAAAGTTTTTTCAAACAGATGAGGAGTCTACCGACACAAAAGATTAATGTATGGAATCAACAACTTGTTCAAAACTTTTAAGTGACGATATTATAATATTCGCATCAGGCGAACAAGACTATTACAAAATTAGAACTTTTGTTCATCAAAACAAGGACATTAGATCTGAAGTTAAACTTAAAAAAGTGTATTTTTGCACAAGAAAAATTGAAATTTTTTGGTATTGAAATATCTAAAGATGGTATAAATCCAGATCCAAACAAAGTAGAATTTTTCAAGAATCCAAAATCACCAACAACACTCAGATTCAAACAGTCACAAATGTATCAAGATTTATTAAAGACTTAAATGAAAAACAACAGTACTACGGGAACTATTAAAGAAAATTCAAAATTTAAGTGGAAAAAAAAACATAACGATGCTTTCAACATGCTTAAACGTGAATTATTATGTAAATCCGTTTTGACTTTTTATGATTGCGCAAAGAAGTACAGTTAACTACTGATGCTAGTAATCATGCCATAAGTGGAATACTTTTACAAAAAGAAGGAACATATATCAAACCAATCTGCAATATAAGTAGATCATTAACCGCAGCCGAGTTAAAATATAGCATCACAGAAAAAAGAAGCTCTTGCTTTGGTATAAGCTGTTGAAAAGTTACATTTGTATTTACTTGGAAAAAATTTTAAGTTCATAGTGGACCACAAACCTCTCAAGTTCATTTTTTTTCTGGCTTTAAATTAAATGCACGTATTGCAAGCAAACGGTATCGTAGAAAAATTATGCATGTGCTAGGAAAATTTAATTAAAGCAACTCATTTTATGGGGAAAAAAATTGAAGTGAGGAACTTCAAAGCATGCTTCGAAATTATAGATGTGCACCTCATGCTACTATTGGAAAACCACAAGCTACGTTATTATTCGATAGAAATATCAAAAAAAAGTTTCCTTCAAATACAATTGAAAATTCACCGTATGACAAAGAAGTGAAAGCACGTCAAGATAAAAGTATAAAAGAGTAAAAAAATATTTTGATAAAAAACATCATGTAAAGAAGAGAGATGACATTAAGGAGATCAGGTTCTTGTATAACATCATAAACCGGGAGGAAAATTAGACTCAAAATATTTAAAAAAGAAATATATAGTTTAAGAAAGAAAGCAAAATTTAATCATTGTAGTCGATCAAGAAAGAAACAAGTTGGCACGTAAGATAAAATTTATTAAAAAACTCTTAAAACCTGAAGCTGAAAATATACAACGTGAAATACCAATAAATAATAACGAAAGAAAAATAGTTGAAAGAAAATCATATAAGCGAATTAATGGACCTATAAAGTTTTACTATTAAACATTTTAAACGTGATTTATTTATTTGAGTAATAATAAAAGCTTTCACAAACAGGGAAAACTGTTGAGAGTTGGTAACGAAATACATAACATTATGATTGATAAGAGCGCGTTCCTGTGGAACGCATTGGAACTCGTGAGTTAGTATAAAAGATTATGTGGTGCGTTATGGTTATTTATATAATACTCGTTGTAATATATATATGATATTATAATAAATCTTTAAAACAAATAAAAGAAGAGTTAGTAAATATATCATTAAAAATAGATTGCACAACAGTAATGACGGTTATCACACCACTTGTCTTTCTGTAACATGTAGAGTCCCACAAGACTTCATTCTTGGGCCACTCCTTTTCCTAATCTATATTAACGATTTAAATAAAAGCCTCTAAACTAACAAGTATTATGTTTGCAGATGATAATAACTTATTCCTAATTAGATTAGGGATGTATCGGTTTGGTTTAAGTGTAATAAGTTAACTCTAAATACTAATAAAACAAAGTAGACCTTATTCCATTCGCTTTCCGAAAAGCTGTTTTTGCCATTAAACTTACCTAAAATTTTTATTGATCAACTTGAAATAAAAAGGGATTCCGTAACAAACTTTTAGATGTTTATCTTTATGGAAACGTCGCTTGGAATCGTCATATCGACCACATAAGCACAAAAATTTTAAATAACCTAGGAGTTTTATATAAAGCACGAATCTACCTTGATAAAAAATTTTTAACCAAACTTTATTATTCGTTTATACACAGTTATCTAAATTATGCTAATATTGCCTGGGGTAGTACAGAAAAAAGTTGCAACGTCTTTATCGCCGTCAGAAACATGCAATCCGTTTAATCTGCTTTGCAAATTGCTTTTCTCACGCAAAATATTAATTATTTTAATGAGAATTTTAAATATATACGAGCTAAATATATATATTTTGTGCCTTGTATACATGTGAGAAAATGACTTGTCCTTATTTGTATTCAAAGATATTTTCACTCCGAAACCTATGAATAAATACAAATTGAGAAATACTGATTTTTTAAATGAAACTTTTTGTCAAACAAACTTTAATCAATTTTGTATTGCATTTCGGGCACTTCATTTTTGGGATAAAATTGTTTTTCCGAATTTTGTCGTATATATACGTTTATATATGGTGAGTAGATCTGCGTGATCTCTCTTTTGATTATATAAAATGTACTTTGGAAATTTGTAGAATTTAATATTGTTGTTACCTTTGTTAAATGCTTGTTTGAATTTATTTAAGGTTCTGACGACCAGATCCTTTAATCTTCTTTCAGATACCATGCGTTATATTTGTTATATCATTTATCAAAAGTTTGTGAAAGTTTATTATTTTCATAAACCTTTTTAGATACAAAAAGACAAATTCAAAAAAAACCCCCCCAAAAAAACCCCTCTACTTTACTGTTTTTGAGGCGACAAAACGTTTGTAAATTTCTTAAGTTTTGAGAAAGCTTTGCAACACGGAAATCCCAAAGATATCAATGCAGTTGATTTAAGCCAGGAACTGAAATCTATTTTAAGACAAGCTACAAGGAGTAAATTGTCACAAGATTTAATAAATTTTATATGGAAAATAAATTCAACAGATTGTGTCCTCTACACCTTTATAGCTCTGAAAACCTTCTTGAAAAGTTTTTGCTTTAAAATTCGAGTTTCTATAGCTAATAATGAGCTGAGCTTACAAAAAACACTTGATCAACTCTATCAATTGATCAACTAGCTACTCTATCAATTGAACTCATTAATGTTAGAAACAATTGCAGCCGTAGTTTAGTATATTAATATTGTAGCAGCCGTGGTGTAGTGGTTAGAGTTCTTTTTTCAGAACTAGAGGTTTGTGGTTTCAAGCTGGCTCTGGCCTTATATTCATTATTGGTAAGGAAGGAAGCATGAACTTCCTGGTTAAATGCTTTTCTACGGTGCTCTGTGAAAGACACTAAGGACTTTCTGGAGCACCTAAATAACTTAAAAAAAATAAAATAAAATTTTTAGTGAATGATAAATTAAAGATAAGTTAATGGAAATTAACAACATCTCAGCATGCACATCATGCTGGACCAACGTCGGTACAGCGTTGGCTCAACGCTTCCAACGTCGTCTTAACTTCGACTTTACGTAGCGTGCTGGCTGGGTTAGCATACCTAAAGTATTTCTTTGAGAAAATTAGTATTAATTAATTAACTGATTGATGTGGGTTCGGAAGAAGAGATGATACAATTTGACAGGCTTGCATAGGTTACCAAACACTCTGGTGTCGGTCCAGAAAATGACGTAACTTTTGATTTTTTATTTGAGTTGCAGAAAAATATCGCTTGGAGTTTGCTCATTTTAAAAACAAATATTATCTAGCAGTTAATACAAGGCGTGGTTAAACTCTCCTATAAAAATATACTTTTATTCCTTAAATTTTAATTTTTAACATTGTATGCCCACAGCAATATTTATAAAAAAGAATATGGATGGTAATAAAGACGAAGCAGAAAAATGTTTTTTATTTGCCAAAAAATTTTCTTTGAATGGAAATAAAGAAAAAGCTATTAAATTTTTAAATAAATCTATAAAATTATTTCCTACTAAAAAAGCTGAGGGTAAGTTGCATATAGAAATCTCTGAGTTTTCAAAGTAATTAAACAAAAAAAAAAAAAAAAATAAAAAAAAAATTGTTTTTGACAAATAATAAATGCTAAATGGACACCTTCTTTTATACTTCTTAAAACATAAAGTTAAAGTTCAAAGTGTTTATTTGATTTTTAAGTTTTTAAAGATACATCAAAAAGGATAATGCTCTTATTATAGAATTTTTTTTTTTAATTATGCTTTTTAGCTAAAATAAAAAAAAAAATTATAATATATAGTTATAAGAAAAACTGTTTTCAGGCATTTTTGCCTGAAAAACTAAAGAAAGCCTTCAAAAATCTGGATATTTAAAAAAAACTTGAAGAATATTAAGGATACCAAAGGACTATTGATTTAACGTAAGGAAAATTTGAGCTTTAGGAAAGCTCAAGCAAAACAGGCTTACGGTTTAAAAGCTATTTAAAAGACAGATATCAAAGAGTAAAAATATTTTAGATATTACTCCATGGAAACAAATAAGAAGCACTTCTCTAAGTAGAATTAATCTGGAGTTATTTAATTTATTAGTTCGAAATTTTTTAATTGAGTGCTAGTCTTAAATCATATAGTTTGGAGGTGATATTACCCAATCAGTAGCAGCTCCTTCTTTTTAGTAAGTAAAAGAATAATAAAATAGGAACTAGAAAAAGAAAAACTGATATCAGCTTAGAATTAGTAAAAGAAAAACTGATAGCAGCTTTTGGAAAAACTAAAGAATATTGCAGTAAACTTGATCTGGATATAAATACAAATAAAACCCAACAATTTTCAAAGCTCCTAGGAAGATAAAATTTCCAGATGATTTCATGATATTTCTGAAAAATGTAGACATGAAATGTCCTATAAATGTAAAATTACTAGGAGTTACTCCTGATCAGCATCTTATATTTTAAAGAAAGATTGATTCATAAGTAAAACAAAATTGTCATTTAAGTCTTGGAAGGATCTTGAGAACAGCTCCTTAGCTTTTTAAGAGAACTTCTAATTAGCTTACTTTAAACATCTAATTAGCTTATTGGTTTGCAGTCATATGGAATGTGTAAGTGCTCTCTATAAACCAGTAGCCAACTTGTTACTTTATAAATTTAACACTATACAAATTATATAATAATCTAATAATATACAAGTCAACAAGAATTATATGCCTTTTCAATAAAAAATTCCCACACTGCACTTTTGTAAGAAAAAATTAAAATTGGAATGATAGATATGTTCATTAAAACTGATGATGAAAGCAATGATAATCCTAAAACTAATTGATAATTATATCTACTAACAACAGTAAAAAAAGATTTTGTTAAATGGGAGAGAAAAAATATAACAAAACTGTAAATATAATGTAGGGTATAGAAAAATAAATAGTTATTTAAAATAAAAACAAAGAAGCTTGGTAAACATAAGAAAGTGATGATTTAATACAAAAAGGATTGAGCCTAAGAGATTAATTGAACAATGAAATAAATAAAGAAATTGTAATTCCACAGAAACATTGAATCCAAAATCAGGGTAAATAAAAGGTTGTAGTTAAAGACAAGTATTCAGGTGTTATCGAAGCAAAATAAGAAATATACACACATAAGCAATAATGCAGGATGATTTGAAAAAAAATGTGTCTTAATTTCACTGAAACAGCAAGTATCCATCAATTTTATGTTTGCTCTTAAATTATTTTGTTTTCCAAAGCAGCTGCATGGAAATCAAATGCTTCTAAAAGACAATAAAATGTAGGTAGACAATATAATACAGGCCTCTACGGGAAGTGAGAGCTTTAGCTCTCGCACTTGCCCACACTCCCTTAAAGTGGTTTACGGGAGCAATTTATGGCTCTCGCAAAAGTATAATTTTTCTTTCGAAAGTATATTTATTGTTGTAACTAAAGTAAAAACCAAAATGTCATTAAAAAAAAAATTAATTTAAAAGGCATCGTTGTTGCAAAAAAATTAAAATCAAGAAAGAGTGCTAATTTAAATAAAGAGCAGATCGCACAGCTCCCCAAAGTCGTTTTAAGAGAGCTTTTCTCAGCTCTCGTGCTCATTTATTCCTGCCGAGGCCTGTAATATATAGTGACTATGATAGCTGATGTTTGTTTTTTAAAACACCTAAAGTGTTTAAAAAACCCATCAAAACAAAGGTGGCTAATATATATATATATATATGATATAAAAATAACAATATACTTATATTTTTTAAAAAGCTTTAAGCAATCTTTTGCAATGTTATTAAGTTTCGATTAAATAGAACTACTAAGTGATTTACATAAACAAGCTATGAGTTTTTTTCCTGTAAATTGCGGTTGTGGTGTAGTGGTAGAGAGCTTGCCTCATAAGCGACAAGTTCCGAGTTCGATCCCCATGCAGCAGCCTTGTTCCTCAAGGTTTGTTTTTTGAGTTATAGAGTTAAGAAAAAAAAATTTTTTTTGGGTGTGGTAAATGTAAATGTGGTGGCTTATCTTTTGTATTCTTATTTAAATGTAGAATGTTTAAATTATACGAACATGCAAAATAAAATGCATGATAAAATAAATTGTTGCTAGCGATTATGATCATCAAAAAATTAAATTTTATGCTTTTATTACTTAATTTTTTATGTAGTTATGTTGCTCTACAAATATTTTATGTATGATATTTTATTCTTCCAAGTGAAAGACTGTCTGTTTAAGAAAAGTTTTAGGTTGAAGCCTCATTTGGTTAATTAAGTATGGTATTTAGTGTCAAAACAAATATGCTGCAGTAAATTCTTCATAAATAAGCAAAATTGAATCCTAAAGCTATGTACTCAAACTTTCAAAATTTTCATATGCTTTTGACATATGTAAAAACTAGAAAAATTAAAAAAATTAAACATCTTGACAAACAAGGCTGATCAGAACTGTCACTTGAAATATGACATGATTGATATTTAAATGACCCGTAAGTCAAACCCAAAAACAAGTTAAATAACACAATTGCTCACATTACAAACTATAAATTAAGTCTTTTGAATCTCTTAAGTATGTTTCTTTTAAAGTATGTTTATTTTTCTAATTGCTTTAGAATCTTTTACTTAGAGTTTCTAACTAGCAAAATATTAGTTTTTTCTGTGGTAAAATGATGCTTTTGGTTTTTACAATAAAAATGACATTTTTTTTAATAGCATAAATATTTTATGAATTATTCAGCTAATCAGGTTTGTATTTACATTTATAAACAAAGTTTATTTTAGAGTAGAAAAGCTTATAAACATTCTCTGCAGCCATAATATAAACAAAGTAAATAATATAAACAAAGTAAATAATCAAAACACAACATTTTCATAATATAAACAGAGTTCATATTAAATAAACAAGATTGTTCACGCATCTTCTTCTATAAGTCGTAATGGTTGACAACTTACTCTTGAGGATCTATGGGCGTCTTTTCCAGGTGTTATTTATAACAGTTGGAGCTAAATGTCTTAGCAAAACTGTGGTTTCTCTTCCATCTGTATACCTTATGTGAGCATATTGAGGATTAGCATCTATGAGTTGAACTTTGTCTACCAGTGGTTCATACTTATTGTTACGTAAATGTTTTTTTATTAGTATTGGTCCAGGATGACATAACCTTAAAAGTACAGTGCATCCAGTAACTGTTTTATAAAGGTGCTTAAACATTCTTTCATGAGGTGTCTCCATTGTTTTAGTATTTATTAATGATCTTAAAAAATGGAGAACATCTACCAATACTTTTCCCCAAGCTTTGATGGGTAAATTGTGTTGTCTAGTAGTAATCTCAATAAATTTTCTGCTTGACTATTTCCTTGGGAATCGTATGCTGTAGTATGACTTAACTCGCAATACCTTTCTATAGTAAGTATTGTTTTAATTCTTTACTAATGAAGGTTGAACCTCTATCGGAATGGATACAACTTGACAAATTAAAAACTGAGAATACTTCTGACAAACACTTAATTACAGTCTGAAATGAAATATCAGGGCACGGGATCATATAAGCAAAACAAGAATACTTATCAATAGTGTTAAAAAAATACTTTTTATTTGTTTCTGAAGGAAGAGGTCCTTTAAAATCTAAGTTCAAATGTTCCAGTGGTTGTGTCGCCTTTATCAAATTAGATTTTAGTGGTTTGTAGTATCTCATCTCACATTCACAACATAATTTGCACTGATTAGTTATTAGTTTAACGTCATCAATTGAGAAAGGTAAATTATGATTTTTAATAAAAGCATAAAATCTAGTTACTCCGGGATGGCAGAGTTATTGATGAAGCTGAATTAAGTTGTCAGTGTTTATTGCTGAGCAATGTATTCTAGAAAATGTGTCAGCTGGGATATTTAATTTCCCTTCCCTGTAGACAATGTCATAGTTATAGCAAGATAGTTCAATTTTCCATAGATAAATTTTATCATTTTTAATTTTTGATTTATTGTTGCTTTTCGAAGATATAGGACACAGGTTGCTGATTGGTAATAAGTCTAAAATGGTGTCCAGTAAGGTAGTGTTTCCAATGCTGGCTGCTGCTATTTTGCACAAGCTTCTTTCTCAATAGAGTGATGTTTGAACTCAGATTTTTGAAGAAATCTTTAAAAAAAAGCTACAGGGCGCCCATTTTGATTAAGAACTGCTATAGCAATGTCAGATGCATTGGTTTCTACTTAAAACAGGATATTTTTGTTCACATAGTCTGTCACAGCGCACTATGCGTTGCTCTTATACAAAATGAGGAAATAGGCATATAAATAAAGAAGGACTTAAAATATTTAACTTATTTTTTCACAAGACATCAAATTTTTATTTATATTTCTATATTTAAAAGAATTATATTCGGTTTTCATAAAAAAACAATTTATTGTATTTTTTTTCGGTTAGTCCGGACTAATTCTAGATTTGTCCAGAAAACTACACAAGTCCGGATGATTTTATTCAAAAAAAAGTAGGCGCCTATATTTTATAGAATTTTACAAACTATGTATATGAACACTATTTCAAAATAAACAATATCATTGAATATAATAAACAACTCTGCTATCATATGATACTTGGCTCTTTGAATTCTTTCACAGTTTCTCAACGTTCTATTCTAATAGATGTTTTTAATAACTTGTGGCTATGAAAATAGCCGTTTTTTAAAAATTCAACGCAGAACAGCTCATCAGTATGGTTCTTTATGGTCTTACTTCCTAAAATAGTTAATTACTTGTTAAAATTGATTAAATTATTTCTTAAAATTATTTTTAAAAACATAAAAAAAAAAAAAAAAAAAAAAACGCAACTTTGAATTGTTAATTAACCAAAATTATGAGATTGCCTAACCAAAAAAAATCAATCAAAACTATTAACAATATTAATAATAAAACTATTTTACCTTTATTTTAAGCAGTTATCAGAAGAACTGTCACTTTGCTTTCTTAAACTATTTTGTTTTCACTCTTTTTTTATCCATTTTGTTTTTTTTGCAAAAGAGGTACATATCAGATGTCATAAACAAATAATTAGCTGTATCCCTTATGTTTTCTCCAAAAGAGGTTAAACGAGCATGACCAATTAGAGCAGTTTTGTTTTCCTTATTTATGGCTTCAATAGCACTCTCAGACAAAGAACCTATCGAATACTTAAAATACCTTATAAAAGAAGTACCATGAACTATCACTCTATGCACAGATTGTGACAGGTATGGTTTTTAAAAATTTATCATTAGTTATGAGTGCAAATAGATGTTCAGATTTCTGTTTGAAAACCTTTATCATCCGGTCTTGTAGTTGTTCCATTTATATCAATGAGTAAATCTCGAAACAACTTAACCATTCTGATATCAAAGTTTAAAATTCTGCCTGTCACAATCGGGTTATTAAAAAATTTGCGAGCAACATTTCCAGTATTGGTTGTTCCACATCCTTTCCTGACATAAAAAAACCCTTATATTCAGTTGTATCTTGAATAAATGCTGGAATTTTTTTTTGTTTTCAATAAATTCTTTACTTTTTTGTGATGGAATATTTCTTCGTTGCTTAACAGCTGGGAGTTTACAAGCAGTATTGAAAATCCACTCCATACAGCGCATCCATAGATGAAGACTGAAAATTCCAAGTTTCAAAATATGCTTGTTTAAATTAATATTTTTTTTCCAAATAGTTTTCAAGTTAATTTCCTTAGAATTTGCAAGGCATACATGGCAGGACTCAGATGAAATTTTTTTTTTAAGCATATTTGATACAACAACGTTTAGTGTTTTGCCATCATTCATTGTGGTATAAATAGTTGACAAACTAGACTTTACTACAAAAGTACTTTCACCAAGTTTAAATTCAATATTCTTAAATAACAAAATTTCATTTTTCAAATGTTCAAATTTTTCCTGAATAAAACTAGCAGTCTCTTTTGAAAAACAAAAAAGAAGATGACGGGTTGCATCTGGACTATTTGGAATTAAATTTTTCCATATTATTTTTTCTCCACTTCGGATCTCCAGCAGTACAAACACTATACTATACACAGAGTGATCATCTACACCTCTTTTCATAGTTGCTGAATTTTGAAACTCAGATTGATCACTTTGACCATCATCTCCTACTTTGCAAATAATTTGTACATTATCACGCTCTTCTTGTGATAAACTCATTATGCAGTTACTTTCATAATCCAAAAGATATTCAAACACTCTAGAAACTGAATACTTTATCATATGGAAAAGACTACATTTTACTTCGGTTTCAGAATATTCAACCTGTTCTGGATATGTCAATTTTTTGTATTGCTTCAACTTGGTTAAACCTGGAGGAACAAGATGACGATTATGAGTCACTATATTTTTAAATTCAGTCCATGTTCTATCTGTAAGTTTCAAATTACAAAGAGCTTGCAATGACAAATTTGAACCATATAAAATAGCCCTACCATCAGTAGAAGAATTAGATTTAAACCTTTTGACAGCATGTTGCAGTTTTTCCACCTCTTGTTCTCTAAGACTATCTGTTCTTTTATGCTTCATCCTGTTTGTAAGCTTAATAAAAGACTTTCTAGGTTTTGGTGTACAAGATGTATTGACGGCAGAGGATTTAGGTACTCTACATGGTACACTATAAATAATAAAAAAATACATTGAAACATATATACATTTTGAAGGTTTTGTGAAACATAGTCAAATAATTTGTATGTGTGTGTGCAAAATAAAGAGAGGGAGATACATTTATCTATGCATACCTGTTTACATTGGATCCATGAGTATGAAGCAGTAATTCCCCTTCTATTATTTTACGCTCACCCTGCTTGATAAGTTGATTACCCTGTTTAATCAGATTTTCACCTTTTCTAATTAATAGCAGTTCTACCTCATGTGTTCTTATCTCTTTTTCAGAATCTTTTTCTAATCTACACGCACAAGTATAATATATATATATATATATATATATATATATATATATATATATATATATATATATATATATATATATATATATATATATATATATATATATATACATATATATATATATATATATATATATATATATATATATATATATATATATATATATATATATATATATATATATATATATATATATATATATATATATATACACTATAATGCAATATTTATTACTTATTTATAATAAATCAATATAGAATATATTATACTCACAAGAGATATTTGCATTGTTGATTTTGATCCAAAAAATGTTTATATTTAGTAAGAAAGTACTTTTTTCTTTTTCCGCACTCATTAAATTTTTTTATTAAATTAAAAGCCAGACTTTTGAAAATGTTGAAATTCACAGTGCAATCAGCATAAAGTGACAAAAACTTGGACTGCAAAAATATAGCACATTCAGATACATTTTTACTCGTGAAAATATGCCTTGGAGGAAAATCATCAGCCAGAAGTTTGCTAAGATTAAAAGTAACCATTTTTAAAAAATTCTAAATCACGATGAGTGCCAAACTTAGGTTATAACTTAAAGACTAGAAAAGAATGTTGCGCCCGCATCCAGTTTTTTCTTGACAAAAACTAACTAACCGGTTTTTAATAAATCCACCTCTTTTGAATTGATTTTATAGAATGTTACTACAGAGGTAGCCAGAATATTATTTCACTTATAAAAAGTCAATTTGTTTGAGAAAATTTTAAAAAAATAAAAAACTGGCTACCTCTGTAGTAACATGGTCTAATCGATCAATCTTTACAGACACCCAAAAACAATGATCCAAACATTTTTTTTTCTTTTCTTGGTTTTTAATTTACAAAATGTATCATTTATTAGAAAATGTGCTAAAAAAATGAAGAAATTTGAAAATTATCTTATGTAATTTAAAGATTTAGTGAAAGCATAGGTTTTTTTACCCCTGAAAATCCCGCACCTAAAAAGGCAAGTTTAAAAAAATTTTAAAAAACTTTTCTTTTATTAACTAATACTAACTAGTTTCAGTTAAAAATATTTTAAATAATAAAATTGAAAAAACTTTTCTGAAAAGTAAGTAAAATCCTATTTCCGCTTCGCGACGCATAGTGCAGCGTTTGCAATGTCTTGTTTAAGTTGATTAAAATCATTTACACACTGATAATTTAATGGGTACTTGGTGTTTCTGGTAAGAGAAGCATCTATTTCATAGGTTGAAGACAACTGGGATCTGGTTTGAGTTTTCCTTCTACTATAAGATAACAAAGAATGCAAATTTTATCTTAAGAGAAGCTACATTTATCATGATTATATGTAAGATTTATATTTTCAGCTGACTTGCAAAATTTTTCCAGATTACTATCATGTTCCTCTTGGGTTTTACCATATATTGTCACATTACCTAGATAAGCAAAAGTATTTAAAAGTCCTTCTCTTTCTATAATTCGTTTATGATATGTTGAAAACAAGCAACACCATTTTCAATTCCAAAAGGCATTCGCTTAAATTGGAACAACCTGCCATTTGCTTCAAAAGCTGTAAATTTTCTATAATTTTCGGTAATTGGAATTTGATGGTAAGCGGATTTCAAATCAACTGTACCAAATATTTTGTATTGAGCAATTTTGTTTACTAGATCGTCAATCCTTGATAATGGATAAGCGTCTAGTTGAGTATACTTATTTATTGTTTGACTGTAGTCAATGACTAATCTTTTCTTAGAGTGTTTTCCTATAGTTACAACTACCTGAGCTCTCCAAGGAGAATTTGCATGTTTAATAATATCCTCTTTAAGCACACATTGTACTTCCATTTCAATGAATAACTGGTCTTCCTTGCTATATCGAAGAGATTTTGAAGCTATTGGTTTATTGTTAGGTGATAAATTGCCAAATAAACTAGGTGGAGATACGTTCAACTTTGACAAACCACAAGTTAATAGTGGGGTTCTTTTTCCTTCAAATTGAAGGGTTACAGCTTTCGTTGTTTTTGAAAATCAATAACAATAAAATAATTCATTTAAGATGTTAAGTTTCACTAGTTTATAATGCTCATTTTTTATTGAAATAATGACAAACTACTCCACAAATTGTACTAGATAAAGAAAATGAAGCCATAGATACCTGTTTTTTGTAATAGTTCATAATTCATAATTCATTTAAGATGTTAAGTTTCACTAGTTTATAATGCTCATTTTTTATTGAAATATTGACAAAAACAATGGAAGCAAAAATGTTCTTTAAATTAGTTCTATGTTCAGGGTAGTCTAGTCAAGTAAGTGAAGGATTGTATGAGTTCAAAGGTTCAACAACAAGGTTTATCCCTGCTATTGTAAGTTTAGAAGATTTACATAACTTGGCAAAATGTTCAGCCTTCTCACAATTAAAACAAATCAACTCTTTAGCGGGACAGACAACTTTAGCATGTCTTTGATTCCCACAGTTCCAGCAATTTGAAACAGAATTTGAGTTAAATTGCTTTGGCTTTTTTGTTATAGCAGCTACTGTTGAGTCTGATGTATTATACGAAGGTAATTTTCAGCGTTTTTCTGTGCTGATTCCAAGGTTCTTTTTTTTAAAAACATTTCATCCAGACTTATTGTACTGTTTTCTAGTAGTCGCTATCTAACAATTTGTGAACTTATCCCTGTTATAAATGCATCTTTAATATATTCATCATGATATTCAATAGCAGACACTTGTTTAAAGTTACATTCTTTTGTTAAAACTTTAAGAGCATGTAAATATCATGTTTTGTTAAAACTTTAAGAGCATGTAAATATCATCAAAACTTTCTCTTGGTTGTTGCTTACGTGTTGCCAAGAGGTGTCGTGCATAAACCTTGTTTAATGGTTTAATGTACACAGATTGTAAAGCTTGTATTGCTGCTTCATAATTTGGACATTCGGTTATTATTTCATAAACATCGGGTACAACAAAATCAGTCAGAATTTTTAACTTGTTGAGTTTTTGAGGGAATTTATCAAGATAATACTGAAATGTTCTGAGCCAATGTTTAAATAATTTTGTTACAGAAGGTGAATTGGGTAATGTATCCAAGCGAGAAGGTCTTAAGGCTCTATCCATATTTTGTGTTAATAAGAGTAGAAAATTAAGCACTTGTATAAAGAACAAAAATTTTAATTCTTAAAAGTTTTTCTACTCTAAAATAAACTAAGTAAATAATCAAAACACAGTCCTAGAGTAATTATTTTTATAGATATTTTAAATATTCTTTTTTATAATGTAATTTTTTGGATTACGGATTTATGTTTTTTAAATTAGATTATGACTAATTGTTTTTGTTAATTAATAATTTATTGGAATGTTCAAAAATCCTATTAGTGTATGTAAAGTGTATGTTGCATAAAAACATAAGATTATATTCATTGCAAAAAAATAAATAAATACAACAATCAAATTTCTTGAAATCAGATATGTTAAAAGAATAACTGTTATAGATTTTAAAAAAAAAAAATTAAAATTAATTATAAAAAAACTGTAAATAGTTTTAATAAGAAACGTACAGAAACAATATAAAATGTGATAATAACACTGTAACAACCAAGAATAAAATAGATAAACTTAATTGTTGCAAGATATCTTAAATGAATTGCATATTGATGCTAATTTTTAACAATCTAAGAATATTTTCTTCTTGTAAACTGGACACAAAGAAATACAAATTTGATTGTAATTTTTTATATACAATTTTAATAAGAATATTAAAATATATAAAAAGAAAATACAATAATACTAATAATATCTATCAATATAAAATGTGTAACACTGTAACAACCAAGAATGAAATAGATAAACTTAATTGTTGTAAGATATGTTAAATGAATTGCATATTGATGCTAATACTAACAATATTATTTTACAGATTTGTTAAAAGAACTTTCAGAAAATATACAAAACGGAACTGCCAATAATGATAGCTCAGACAGAAAGCGTACACACAACAACTCTAATAGTCATTCAGCAAAGAAGGAGGAGGTTCAAAAAGAAGAACTTCAAGTTGAATTAAATTATACACCTGAGCAACTTAAAGAAGTAAAAAGGTAAAGCTCATTAAACCATTCAGTTTGAAAAAAAAGTTCAATTTAAGATCTTGTTATATGTTTATTATGTTTTGGACCAAGTTATTTAAGTTTGAATATCTAAGAGAAACTTAACCTTTTCTTTTTCGGCAAAATATTTTACTGTCTGAAAGTAAAATATTTATAAGTAAAATAGATAGTAAAATAATTGTTTATTGTTTAAAATAGTTGTCCTAAAACAAAAGAATAAAATAAGACTGTATGATATTTCAAATTGTTTTCTTTCAGAACCTATTGTTTAATAATATTATTAATAATGCCACTGTGTTGTAGCCTTTATAAAGGAATGCCATAAAAATTCAGGAACTGGTTTTGAGAAGAGCATTTTTGCAACAATTCTCTCTCTGCTACAGAAATAGCAAGGTCTAGAAGAGCAAGTGGAACCAAGGTTTCATCAAGGTACCATTAATGTGATTCCATTGAACCCATTGTGGTATCAATTCCATTTAAAATTGTTTCAGAATTCTGAGCATATTTTTTTTTCTGAGCATATTTTTCTACATATTCTCTATATTTTGTCATTTGCCATTAGGCGCAGCATAAGGTATAAGGTTTTCTAAAACCAGACGGAATAAAAGATTGAGATAAACTTGACTGTAGACTGCACTTCTTTCTTTTGATTATCTATCACAGGCTTTGTGATGAATAAAAACTGCGCGACGCATATGCACAACGTGGTTTTTGACGTCATTAAATTCTTTTTATTTGCTTTTCATATTTATCGACATTAACTGCACCAATTTACTTAATTACCGCAAAACTACTTTAAATCATTAATGTAGAAATGTTATTATTTAAAAATGTTTTGGAATGTTTTGTTTTTTAAAATGTAAAAACATTGGTTTATTTTCTCGACGCTTTGTCTACTAAACGAATAAAAAACATTATAACTAAACATTTAAAAAAGATTATAAAATATGCTAATATTTGATTTTCTCAAATATTAATTTAAAGTTTTTCAAATAATTAGTTTTTCTTTTTAAAAAGTCAGCAATTAATAAACTGGAAATTTTAATATTATACGATTAAAAACTGTACAATAGCTAATATTTTTACTAGCGATTTTATATTATATTTTTTTATTTATTCATTTTTATTTATTTTCATAAAGCGGTTGATAAGCACAATCACTTGTATTACTAAAAAACTTTAACGAACATTTTGAATAAATTTTTAATGTTTACAAGGAATTTTATTTTTGGTAAAATAAAATAAAATGGTAGAATAAAAATCTTATAGGTATAAAAGACATATTTCAGCGAAAAAATTATTCTTAAAAATTATTATTAAAAATTATTCGAAAAACTATTGACATTCTATTTTTCAGCAGCTGTTCTTGATCACGCTTCGTTGAGTTTCAATAACTTTTAACAAAAAAGCGATTGTTATTATTTAAGTAATTTTTTTCGAGTTACTTTTTACAAAAATTTTAATAGCTGTACTTTTTTATTGAATCAAGTAGAATATGTTTTAAAATTAATTCTTTTATTTTTTTTTATTTGCGCTTACAAATTTTTAAAACGTTTCTTCGAAATTACTCTTAAATACTTTAAGAGTAAATGCGTCTAACAGTTAATAAATATTTTTAAATCTATGGAATAATTTTAAAACCTTACAAACCCCCGTAAAATAATTATTTAAGTTAAAAATCTAAAACTAAAAGAAAGTATTTTTGTTCAATTTTATTGACAACTTTGCTATTGCTGAGTAATTTTATTAAAATGTTAGCTTAAAAAAATTTAAACTTTTTTTTAATCTGAATTTTTTCTACTTGTAAATAATGAGCATATTTAATTTTTTTGTAATTCAAACTTTTATATCAACTGCGTGCGGTTTTTAAAATACTTTAATAAATGTTGAAATAATCGTAAATTACTTCCATTAAAATTCCGCTCAAAAATATCTTTAAATATACTCAAACAAAAATTTTTTTGCTCGACGCAAATAGCCTAGCTACACGCAAAATCGCTCTTGGACGACATAAAATTTACATCGCCCGACGCTTTATCGCAAGGCCTGCTATCAATTCATAAGAAAGTTGTGAACTCAATATCTGAATCTCGAGATAATAAATAGCTTAGAACATAAAATGCGCATAACACACCCTGGAACTTGAATTTGAAAAACTCTTTTATTGGACAAGTACATGAGAGTCAGTTTCAATACTTCTTTGTAAGTTATAAGCTCTTTGTAATCTCCTCTGGAGAAAATGTTTACCTTTTGAGCATTCTCGCAAAATTTTACAGTGTTGAGTCAATGGATCTCTACGAAAGTTTTAGCAATAGATCGGGTATCATATTTTACAAACTTTGAAGAGTCAATGCTATTTTTAATGTTATTCTAGTTTAATTGGAACTGTTTGAACATTAAGTTTTCTTGAATTTTTTTTTTTTCACTGCACTATTTTTCACAGAAGTGTTTTAGATGTAATTCATAAACATGCCTCCTGCAAGCCAGCTCTAGTACAATTGAATTTTGCTTCTGACTAAATCTGACATTTGTACAAGAAATTCTTCCTGTAATTGTAGCAGTTGTATCAAAACATAAACCTTTCACATGATCACATGGATCAAGTTATTTTTTTTTAGACTTAATTTTACACTATTATAAAAACTATCCAGTTTATAGTTTTTTCCATGTCTGGAAACAGCTTATTAGAAAATCAAAAACGCTTTATATGCCACAGAGTGATATAATAGGTTTTTGTAAAGAAAAATTTGAATTTTTCACCAATTTCAGAAGATTCTGTAGACTAATTTCTTAATTTTTTCAACATGTTCCTTTTATGTGATTAATAATTAATCCGACATATAATATTTAAAAGAGTAAAAAATTTTATAGAACAAATTTTAAGGTCCTCACCAGGCATTTAAAACATTTTTGGCTTAAAATCGAACTGGCGGGGACCTGCCAGTTAAAATTTTTTTTTGCTCCAACTTTTGCAAGATCAATTTTAAAATTGATAAATTTGAATACTCTTGTGGGGAGTCACCTAACCAACTTGTGGTTGTTAGAAAAACAGATGGAGATTTACGGATATGTGCAGAATACAAAATAGATGTTAACTAAAAGATATGCTCAAATTCGTACCCTATTCCAAATATTGAAACTGTATTTTATAAAATGGCTGGAATGAAATATTTTTCTAAAATTGATCTCAAGGGAGTTTTTCATCAAATTGAGATGGACAAAGAGGCGCAACAAATAACAGCAGTTAATACTCCTATTAGATTGTTAAGATGGACATGTTTACCATTTGGAATAAAAACTGATATTCCAAAGAGCAATAGAATCTGTTGTTGGTGATATTATTCCTAATATGATTATATTTTAAGATGATATATGTGTCGGTGGTAAAAATGCTGAAGAGCTTAAATCGAATTTGAGTAAAGTTTTGAGCAAATTGAAAGAATCCGAGATGAGTATAAATGAAAATTAGTGAATGGAACAAGTTTTTCATTTTTAGGATACAAACAATCAGAAAAGGGAGTTACCCCAGATTCTAATTTGGTCAGCAAAATACTCAAAATAAATCCTCACATTTTTTTTTTTGGTTTGGAAATTTAAATTGATATCAGATCACAGACTATTAGAGTTTAAATTTGATTGTAATGAAGAACTGCCTAAAGTGACATCTGCTAGAATTTTAAGATGGACCCTGCAAATAATGGCATTTGACTACGAAATAAGCTATAAGAAGGAAGAAAACATTCCTCATGCTGATGCATTGTTGTCTTTTCTACCACAGGATGAAGAAAAGGACCAAGAAACCTTTATACACTTAGTCGAGTCAAATATCATGAATCTTGAGCAGAAAATAAAAGAAACAGAAAATGATAGAGTATTGATGGGTATCAAAACCAGAATTAGCAAAAAATAATTGGAAGAGGTGCTCTGTGGCAGAAAGACCTTATAAACCTATTAGGAATAAATTGACTATTGAAAAGGGAATTGTATGTAGTGGTGATCTTATTTTACCTCCTAAAATAATGAGAAGGAAGTTCATCAAATCAGTCCGTGTTGACATACATTGTGGCACAATGTAAACTTGATGTAGATTAAAGTTGGAAGCTTGGTGGCTTGGCTACTTTCAAGATGTTGAAGAATATGTGAAAAATGTGTAGAGATATAGGGTGAAGAAAGAGAGGACATTACATACATGGCTAAATGAAAATAAACCTGGTACAGAGTGCTTCTGGATCATAGGCATGATCCATATGCACTCTGCACCAAATACAGGGTGTTGGGCTGTCTTTAATTCTAGTAGATTTTTTTTCTGGATGGCCTGAAGTTATTAAGGTAAATAACTGTGATGCTGCCAGAGTGAAGGCAGTACTACAAGGTTTTTTTTTTGAAAAATAGAGTTCCAGAAGTTTTGGTATTTAATAAGGCGACAAAATTTCATAATACCACCTTGCACCAGTGGATAAAGAAAATAGGTTGCTTACCTTATGAGACCCCACCCTACCATCCTCAATCTAATGGAGCAGCTGAATAAATGGTGGAGACAGTCAAGAGAGGTTTAAAAGCTTATTCACTGGATAAAGGTTTATTATGTGGATATTTAAGCAGAACGCTTTTAAGTTACAGAACAATACCTCATGCAAGAAGAATAAGGAGTCCTTCTGATGAATGATGGGGAGGCAGTTGAGATCTCCTCTCACTCTAAGTTATGAAACTGGAATACCATTATGGTATTGCCAGAGACCAGATTCAAAACCTAAACCTGTTTCATTTATCTCTCAGGCTGGTTAAAACACTGCAATCATATTGAGGAATAACTCTTCAGGTACACTAGCACACTGTGACCAAATAAACAAACGCCTAACTGAGCCTAGTATAGTTTTGAATAATGAAGACAGTAAACATTATGATCCCATCAATAATGAGAAACTTGATCCTTTTAATAGTGATAAATTCGATATGTCCAAACTACTTGTAACTAAAAAAAACTTACCCAGAATCGAAGAAATACACAGTGGACAAGGGGGCAAAAGCCATTACATTTCAGTGATGTGAAGCTGTAAAACTTTGTTATTTGCCGACAAACACTAACAGTGTTTATATTCATGGCATTTATATGTAGTGAATATATAAAAAATGGCTTATATACAAAAGATTATATTGTTATTTTTATATTAGTCGTGTTTTGTTAATGATACAACAAATTTCAAAGTTTTTTATTATATTATTTCTAGTTTCAATTATTCTATTTTTAATTCATAATATCATGTACGTTTGATTTTTCATCTATTTTTATTTGAATATTTTTTTGATTTTCATTTTTTTTTTTTCAATAGAATTAAAGGTTGTAAAGATTTCTATGATGTTCTTGGTATAAGTAAAGACTTTACAGATAATGAATTAAAGAAAGCTTATAGAAAGTTAGCATTGCAGTTTCATCCTGATAAAAATCATGCTCCTGGTGCAGCAGAAGCTTTTAAACGTAAGTTTTTAACTTTTCAATTATTAATGACCTCTTTATAGTTGTTACAAATACAACATGAAACAACATATGCATAAATGTCTTCAAGATCCAAGTGTATTTTGTTGATCAGAAAGCAAAAGGGGCTTATGACTTTTCATATTGAGGTAATCAAGTCAAAATTTGTAGCAATATATAATCTTGAAATAAGTTTGTAAAAAAAAAAAAAAAGATTAAAGTTGTGATTAATTTATTTGTTGTAATTGTTAGACATGAAACCAATGTAACGGTTGATAAATGAAATGGTGCAATGTAGATTAAAGTAATAGTGTCTAAGAAGCATGAAAACAGAACATTAAGTTTTTAATCTGTTTCAAAATACATTTTGAAAAGAAAGAAAAAAGTGTTGTCACAAATAAAAAAATAAAAATAGTGCTTAGATTAGTTAAGTAAATGTTTTAAATATTGGATGTTATATGCAATACTGAGCAGGAAAAGCGTGCAATTGTGTTCCAATCTGAGCACACATTTAATTTTTTTTTTGAAAGCTTGAACACGACTCTTTAGATAATTAAAAACATGCTTAAAAAAAACCAACAAAGGAAAAAAAATTATAAACAAGCTATATAAGGTATATAAAATATATAAAAAAAAAAGGAATCTTAGCGAAAGAGAAATTAAAAGAAATAAAATAGAATAAAAACCTATAGCTACAAAAAAATCAACCAATATAAATCTGAAAAACTAAAACTATTAGAAAATTATTTTTAATTATGTTTCGTAATTACATTAAGGTTGAATAACTGAAGGTATGAAAAATTTCTAAATGATTTTTTTTATATTAGGAAAATAGCAAAAAGATAAAAATTCTAGATAAAAATATTTAATTAGTTATTTTTTATTAATTTATGTTTTTTTATATATCAATCAAAAAAAGAATATATAAACTAATAAAATAATAATAATATAAATAATTTTAATTAAACATTTTAAAAAAATTTAAAGATTTTTTTAAAATTCTCCTAATACAAAAAATTTCACTTATAACCCAACATGCGGAACTTTAAAACTTTGATTTTTTTTTTAAAGTTAAAGACGAACTCTTTTAAATAAAAAAAGCTCACATTTAAAGGGATCCCTAAGTGGTATAAAGATATGATCTCATATGAAAGAGCATAAAAAAAAAAAATGTTTGATGTATATTATTTTTTCTAAAACGTAATAATGAAAATGCACTAACAAATTTATTTTTCAAAAAAACATTTTTCTTCGATTAAAAAAAATGCGTCTTGTCTCAAAGTTTATTGACTCTATTGCCTCAAAAAACTAACGTTTGTACGTCAAATTAAACAAAATAGACATAGTGTCATTATTGCAAACTTATTAATTGGTAATTAAATTTAAAATTAAAGTCGTTTTTTTTCAACTAACACATAATTACTTACAAGAATAAGTTTGGTAGCATTTTGTGAAAATATATTTGTATATTAAATTTTTTTTTATAATTTTAATTTATATATTTGTGTTATAAGGCCAAAAATGAATAGTAGTCAAATTTTAAACTCTTTTTAGTCAGTTTTTAACAAATGAATATTGATTTAGACACATGAAAGTTTATTTAAAATATTTCCTTAGTAGAAAAACAAATTTATTTCAGTCATTTTTATGGTTTCAAAAGTGACGGTTACTCTCATTTTTGCTTGATAAAAAAAATAATTATTGTACAATCTTTTAGTTAAATTAACATTTATGTTAATTTTGCTATATTTTTTTGGTTCAAATTGATAAGGTTGAATAGACATTTTATTAGAAATTAAACTAAGACAAGGCTTGAATTAACGCAAAAAAATCTAATTGCAAAAATTTTTTTTTTGCTCTCTCCCCCCCTTTCTCTTATAGCTTGCGGTAAAAATTATCGGGGAAAAATTATCGTCAATAAATCAAAAAACATTGTCAAAAACTCAATAAAAAATTAGATACCACGTTTTTTATAATTTATTGTTTCTTGAATAAAGGACTAATAAAAGTTTAAATATATAATTAAGTTTTTCATTTAAATGGTTGATGTTTTTATTTAATTTTTCTATTTCAAATTTTCCAATAAAAGATGAAACAAAAAAATTTGGTTTAATAAATCGAATTATACTTCATGTTTAAAATAAGGTTTAAAAACGTTAAAGTAAAAAAATTGCTGGTTTTTATTAGCATTTTTATACTGTTTGAAAAAATAAACTAATAAAAAAGAATTAACTAATAATATATTAATTAATAATTATTAGAATTAATAATAATAATAATAATTCTTTTTTATTAGTTTTTTTTTTTTCAAACAAAAATGCAAATAAAAGTCAGCAATTTTTTACTTTAACGTTTTTAAACCTTATTTTAAACATGAAGTTTTGATAAACAAAGATAAAAATCAACTTTTCGCTTTAACAACCTTGTAAAAATTTTTCACGCAGAGGTTTAAAGTAATTTAAATTCAAAAATGTTTTACGTTGAAAGAAAATCTCCGCGCGAAAGAGCAAATCATCTATTCATCTATCTATTCAGAATTATAAATTTTGTGTGACGTTCTTTATGATAAAAACATTACTTTTAAGAATTGTTAAAAAAAATGCTAAGCTAGAAAAAAAGTAATTAAACAACCAAAATAAAAAACAAATCGCGAAAAGATTTTTTTAAAGAAAAAACTAATCACAAAAGTGTGTGTAGCAATCGCAATCGCGAGACAGGGCTCATATTAAATACGCTTAATATGAGCCCTGTAAGACTTTTTTATAAGTTCTAAACTATTTAAAACTATTACTTAATAACTTTTTTTAATGACGTCTTTCAACCGAATTCTATTATACTGTTTTTGCAAAACTAATTAAAAAAACTTGATTAAAACTTGACTATTTAATCACAACTTTTTTTTACTTGAAAATCGAAGTAGATATTCTAAAGTTGTTGTGGCGTACTAACGTGATTTTTAACAACTAACAATCGAGTTTCAATGGTAAAAAAATAAAATCAAAATGGAGTTGTTTTTCAGTGATTTTGGCAATTGCTTTTTGTTGCATTTATTATTACAATTTAGTGAAAAAGAAAAAAAAACTTACATATTTTTTTTTTATGCTCTCTAATATAAGATCATATGTTAGGAGCACTTAGGGATCCCTTTAATTATTGTTTAATAAAATTTTATAGTATTATATTAACTATGTCTTTTATAGTATACAATCTTTAAAAGCAATTTCTTGCTTTATTACCTTAAACGTTATTTAGAACACATTTTTTATAATTTTTTTAAACAATAAGTAAAATTTAAAGCACTAAATATTTCTAACAGATATATAAAAAAATATACAAAATTTTTTTTTTTTTTGTATTGATTGGTCTTTTGTTTATAAAAATACGGGTTTTTCACTTGAACAGTATTGTTCCAAAACCTAACTAATAATCCAGAAATATTACAAATGTCTAACCTAGCCTGCAACCAAAATGGGTAAAATTCTTTTTGTACTTCACAGATAATCAACTGATTAAGCATCTGCGTCTCAAAACGGTGCAAGACAAAATGAGACGAAATGATAAATATTATTTCGATAAAACCGGTACAAAATACAATTATATACAATTTCGCAAAAAACGGTACAAAACGTGACATAATTTTTTTTGTTTCGTGAAAAATATGGTACAAATCGAAACAATAATTTCTTGTTTTGTAAAAACTGGTACAAAACGAAATAAGGTTAAACTAAATAAAGTACCAAATAACCGGTACAAAATGAAATAAAGTTAAACTTTTTAGTTAAACTTTCGTGTAAGAAACATTAAGTTAGTGAGTATTAAACACATATTTGTTCTACTTGAATGTTATAGTTCATGAATAGCTCAGGTTGTGGGAATTGTAAAATATTTGTTTAAAACTGGGGAAATATGAATTGTTCCGTAAAAACCGATACGAAACGAAACATAATTTTCTTGTTTCGTAAAAATATGGTACAAAATGATATGATATTTTTTTTTCTTTGTAAAAACAGCACGAAATGATTATTATCATTTTCTACCGTGACAAGCCGAACTTCCAAAAGGATATACAGGCTTGGACAGGAATGGCGTGCGATCGTACTCTGTAACTGACCACACTAATAGTTTTTTATTTATAACTTGACCACAGCTATTTTGATGTTTTAACAAATTAAATGTAATAAAAAGTGTTACATTATGAATATCTTTTTATTTTACGCGGAAGGCTTTAAAATAAAACCATTTAATTATTTTTAATGATTGTTTACATAAACGCGTGTGTAAATTAATAAAAAATGTTTTTATAAATTATTTTTTGTGTAGGCATGATAAATTTAAACGTTTGAAACTATTTTCCCATGTCTTCTTAAAAATCTTTCAAAGCATTAATTTTAGAAAGATTTTTTTTTAATTTATGAATAAGTTCAAAACCTTTGCCTAGCTTTTAGACATTATATGTGAATTATACAAGAATATAAAATAACTTTATTTACTTATATAAGCATGTATTTTGGAAAAGTTTTGAAGCATTTTGTAATGTTCATTCGATTAATTTTTGTAACTTACGATTTTTTAAAATCTTTTAAACAAACATTTTACTTTTTGAAAAACAATTTTTTTTGTTTTGTTTTCCAAAGTTTAGCGTTTCTACATTCAGCGCATTTCTGAAATGTTTAAATCATCAAAACATATATATAATCGTGGTGAAGTTGTCAAGAAATAAAATCATTTGCATGGTCAGCATTAGTGCGTGATTGCATGCCATTCCTGTCCAAGCCTGGAGACGAGAAGACACAGATGTCTTCAACTAATCTTAAATTTCTCACTAAATGTCTTTTTTTTTCTGAGAACATACTCATTTAGCACCAATTATGGGGTTATAAGAGTACACCTATTACTTTAGGGTTGAAAACCTAATTTGCCCCCTGAAGGGTTTAAATGAGCACACTATTAGAGTTTTAAAAAAGACTAGTGACACATACCTATATGTAAGCAACATTTTAAAC